TGTGGTGTCATTCAAACTACTCCTGCCTTACCTACAAAGAGGATAAGCCACAACCAGACCATGCATTTCCTTAAGAAAGCCTTCCAATGACTGTCAGGTACAACATGCATTGCCTGTGGTGTCAGTAACTCTACCCAGCAGGAAACACACAATGCACTGTTTTCCCAAGTTGCTGGGGAATTCCTCTGCCTGTATTGTGCCATTATGGAAATACCTGTGGGCAGGTGTGGCAGAAGCCAGATTTTGTGTCAGTTGGCATAAAACCACCCTGATAGCTTAAGCACAGAAGCTGATCCAGATTTTGAACACACAGCCGGTGTCTGTGCTGGGCAAACTGCCATCTGATAAGTTTCCATGGCTAAGAGCAAATACAGATACGGTGAGTGCAGTTTTCCAAGATGAATGCCAGTGACCAAAAGGGGGAGGAGAGCTTGGCCTCAAAAACATCACCAGGCTTTCCTTTCCTGTCAAGTGAAACAAGCCAAAGCCCAGTTCTCACACAGCAGGTAAGCGTGTGACTGATCTCATGGCAGCAGGGGAGGTGGCGTTGTGCTGCCAGTTCCATCAGGTCCTGCTTCTGCTTCTCAGGAATAAAGTAACTCTGTCCACAGCTTTACTCCTGCTTTCTCCAGATGGGTGCTGGTCACCCAGGCCTTCCCCTGACAATCTGGAAAGTGCAAATTAGATGCCTATGGGGGAGGAGCTGCTATTTTGCAGCTTCTGTAGAACCTTGAAATCTTCCTTTGATTCTTCAGAAGAAATGAAATGTAGATTGTTTCCTTGAAAAACAGGATCCACTGCTTTGGAAACAGCCCTTCATTCTTAGGTTCCTTTAAAGCTGAGGACATCAGACACCTAATAGGGTTAATCACACAAACCAATGGCAAGTCTCAACCTGAAGGCAGTTCTGGGTCTTGTGCATCTGCATTAAGTGATGCAGAGGAATTCCTGCCTAAGCACTGTTTCCACAAGGCTTTACGAGTCCCTGTAAAGCTACACCAGATCCCTGCATCCCTGCAGCACTGCCCAAGTGTGAAATCATGTGCTCAGCAGTCACACCACATATCCCATGTTCTGGGGTTCTTCTCACTACCCACTGTGGGATATCAACCAGCGAGCATCTACTCCGTGTCTCAGAGTTCCTTCTTTTTCTTATCCTTGCTTCTCTTACTGCAGCTATTTTAATTTCAATATAAAGGAAAAGCAAGGAATTATGGCTCAGTGCCATGATTCAAACAGTATGTATCAGTAAGGCCCCTGAACACCACCCTCTTCAGTGCAGAAGAACCTTGACTGGCCCTGCAGCAGCTCACTGACCCCAGTTAGCCAGCAGCCAGCCCGGCCTTCTGGCTTCTGTCACAGCCTAACACAAAGCTTTCCATTCACTCCTCGCTCTCACGGAGCACAACAGGCCACGGTTCCCCCAGTGTCTGCAGGGCAGCAGAATGGTGACGTGATTACACAGACTGGGCTCTTCTTCATGGCAAAATGAATGCCAGATCTCCCAAATCAACTGAGAAACTACTAACAACTAACTAAAGCTCTAGCAAAAGCACCTGGGACGTGCACATTCTGTTTTTGTGACCACTGTTTGGGAAAGCTGCACAGGGAGCTAATTTGGAAAGGATTCAATAAGTGAGGAGCAGCCTATAGCCGGGCAGGTACCACAATGAACGCGGAGAGGCAGCAAACACCGTCAGATGCAGCTGCTGTCACAGAGCCCAGGCTTCCTGCACACTGCTGTGAAGGCACAGCTGAAGGACCACCACTTCCATTAATTAAATAGATTTGAAGATTGTAGTGGTCAATCTCACTCAGAGACAATGCACAATATAGGCCCACCACCTTGGACCACGTCAGTTACTTGTTGGGGCTCTCTCTTCTTCTGCTCACCGCTGGGAATCCCTCCCTGCTCATGGAGGCACCAATGTTCCAGAATCTCTTCCACACTGGCAAGTCAGAAAGAACAGTTCTCACGTGTAAAGCCCTCCACTGATATCACAACTACATCACATAACAAACATCTTGCACAAAGGATTTCTTTTATACACAGGCATCTAATGAAGACCCAACAATCAGCAGTGCTGTTTTTCAAAACTGTGGAAGGAATTGTAAAGAAATACAAGCAACTTCGATTTAATTGGTATTTCCAGTTCCACTTGCAAAGGTGAGCTACTACAGTGGCGTGTTACTACCCTGCTCTACCAGTTACTCCTGGAAATGATGCTCCACCCAAAAGAGCTGTTTCAGCTAAATGTTCTGGGTAAGTTGTTGCATTATTTCATGTTCCTGGTCCTTGTAGCCCTCCTCCTCCCTTGGCATTATAGCTGTGGCAACAAAAGCCTATAAAACAGTGCCAAGTACACCCACACATGCACCACACTGTTCGCTGAAGCAGATCTCCCTTTCTGTCACTGAAACTTGCTGCCCAAAAGCACCTAAAGGGTGCTGGGGATCACACAGGGATGCCACTGCTTCTCCTCCTCCCCAGCACTTCACTCGTCCTCCTGAGGCTCCCAGAAACCAGGACAGCAACTCCCCAAACCACAGTTTTTGGCAAATTCATCTTAACACGCGCAGGTACACTCCGTGTGCTGTGGTGGTTTTACATGGAGAGCTGCACTTGCAGTTTAATACATCCCTGCAGTATCAGGCTGGGTATCTCAGTGCTTCACAGCTGCCCTCCACATGCACAGAGTTCTCCTGTCTTGTTCTTTTAGATACCTTGGAACTGTGCAGTAAAGTACTCTGGACCAAACAATTACTGGGTTTTGGTGTGGGTGCAGTTTGGAGCATCAAAGTGAAGAGGACACGTGGGGATGTGGGAAATCGCAAATACTGTTTAAAGACATTCCATTATTTTTGCACATGTGGACACTGAATTTAACAATGAAAGACACAAAAAAGAAGAACCGAAATGCATCCTTTTGTTGTTAAAGAGATAAAAATAACCTTTACTCTCTCACCTACCCAGCAGAGATTAGAAGATGGGATCCAAGTACTGGCAAGATAAGCAACTGAATCAAAACACCTTCCACCCATCTAATAACACTAATTTCCACTACAGGAACTTTTCAGCCAGATGACCTGGTGAAGGAAGCCATTTCCACCTGTTTTTGTAAATGAAATTTGAACTCTGATCACCCCCTTAAACCTCTGCTCTCCCCACAGCCACATTTTTCTCCTGAAGAAGTGGATGAAGAGACAGTAGACACTGGTGGGCTATGTGATGTCACACAGGTGCCACATGTCACCTGTCGTGTCACAGGCCATTTTTGTGCCTGGCCTCAGCCTGCAGAAACCATTTTCACTTATCCTTAAATATAGGCTCAGCTGAGTGATCAAAAAGGGGGAAAAGGATAAAATTATTGGCTACACAAACATGCTGGCTTGTTCCATTTCCTAACTGCCAGACCAAACGCTTGCCAAAGGTGGTTTACTTGCTAGCGCTCAGAACTGTATACACTGGGATGTTTTTTGTTGTTGTTAAAGATTTAGTGAAACTTTCACCGATACCAATGAACCAACAACAACTTCCCTTTGGCAATGCACAGTGAAATGCTACTTGTAACTGCAGTGGCATAATCCAAGCTGAAGTTCCTCCCTCGTTTTTGGATCTTCCCTCCCCCCAGGTAAAATCTCGAGAACCCACAGCAGACATGACGAGACAGATACAGCGCATTGCTGAAACTCTGAATCACGGCCTTGCCACTGAATCTACACCTTTGTTACAGGCACAAGGTCTCGTGTTTGAAGAGAAACAAACGAGGAGGATGCAGGTTCACGCTTCCCAAAGTTACAGCTTTACTACTCCCATACGTGCTAAAGCAAAGCAAACACCTGAAAATTCTCTGTACTTTATTTCAGCTCCGAAAAGAGAAAATAGAACCTTTTATTTGTGATACCACAGGCAGGAAAAGAAAACAAACAAACAAAAAAACAAACAAAAAAAAAGTCAAGTTGTCCTCCAAAAGATTTGCTTTCCTGGAGCTCTGTTGCACACATCCAGCTACACATTTCCAAACACATTCCAAGACAGTCGCTCAGCTACACTCATGCAGGTAATTTCACAGACTTGAACAGACAGCTAACATGCATGGTGAGTAAAAGCACAGGGAACTAAGGGAGTGATGTAATTACAAATACACACAGCTGGCTAAAAACATTCTGAATATAATTAAGCTTTGAGACATTATGCCAGCCAAGATGTTAATAACTGTGAAAAAAAACCTGTGGGTGATTTTCATACTTATCAAAATAAGGAACTGTTGAGAACCATTAATAATGTGGGTAAATGCTGTCTAAGCTTCCCACACTCAACCCTGCCAATAAGTGCAACAATCCTGCTATTCCAGTCTGGAGCTCCTCCAGAGCAGAGATATTTACTCAGGTTACATTGTGAACTTGCTCTGCAACAAGTTAAACATAAAAAGATCAATATATGTATATCAATACGTAACAACATTTTTTTATCTGCTAGCCTTGCCCGGACCAAGATGTCAAGCACTTTTACATGAACCCACATTCAACTTTAGCATAAAGGTTATTTCTAAAGCCAAGTTAACACTTCCACAGACAAGTGTAGAGAAAGAGTGCAAAAGGAGGCTTGGAGAAGCTGTGGTTTAATAATAATTGCAATGAACAGCAGGAGACTCTGTGTTTGAGAAAGAGCAGAAACTATTCTCATAGATTACTTTTCAAACACTTCACACACTCAAAGGACTAAAGAAACTGGACACTCTGCACCACTGCCAGAAGAGCTCGTAAGTATCTTTCCTACAGGTTGCTGGTACCTGTAATTATAACACTTTGCCTCCAAACTAACATCCAACTACTTAGGAGCAGATAGGTTTCTGTTCTTATTTAAGTAAATAAATTACAAAAAAAATCCTGAAAACAGGGTCTTACTTGAGACACTGCCTAGTCCAAAATTTTATCGTGAATCCTACAAAATTCAGTATATTTATCCAACAGATTTGCATAAAGAGTGTTTCACTGACCTTCGAAGTCCACATCCCCAACTAATTTGGTTTTTCCTGTAAGAGGATCATGGATATGGTTGATTCCTACGTCAATCACAGCTGCACCTTCTTTGACCATATCAGTTGTAATCAACTTTGGGATACCTGGAATCATCAACACATATTTAATTACCCTGGCCAGGTAGTCTGAGGTTGTCAGTTTTGAATGATAGCAAGGGTGTGCATGCACAAAATAGAATTCGTTCAGTTAAATATTTCTTGATACACCCCACATTGAAAACAACTATTCCTCAACTGCACACAGGTTGTAACTACTGCTAATACTACAGAAAAAAAAAAAAAAAATCCCACCAAAAGTTACGCTATGGGATTTGTTTTGGTTCAAGTAACACACTCAGCCAATAACAAATTTTAACTGTTACAGTAATCCCAGCAGACAAGGCTGAGCCTCCACAGAGGACAAAACACCATTTCTTGCTATTTCCAGCAATCTGGGAGACCTCTGCACTTGACCCAGCCTGGGCACTGCACACCCTGTGGGCTGCATCTCTGTGCTGTCCTGGAGTAGGAGTTTTTTGCTATTAAGAAATTCCAGCTAAAACGAGCCACCTCAGCCTTTTCATATGCACAGTATTTCTTTCGCACCTTTAAATGTGAAGCATCTTGATATTCATCGCGAATATGTGCTTCAGTCAGGACCCAGAAAACCTGAAAGGTCCCATCAAAGTCTACATAATGAAATGTATCCATGGCCATATGACTCCTGTCAGGAATTCCTCCCCTACCATGCAACCTCCAACCTTCAGTAATGGGAATTTCCAAACCAAAAATTACGATTCACTTTGCTTCTTGAGCAATTCCATCAGTTTTTTGTTCTGAGAGGAATGCTACAGTGTCCCTAAAAAGGGAGTCTGAACTCCCCTCTCCCCACCAAAGAGCTTTCTCTCGGGTGGGGAGAAGGCAAAAAGGAAAAGAAAGCGAATCCATACGGTTTTGAAACCGCAGTTTTATTGGAGGGAAGCGCTGGTGTACGAGGCTCTGGCTCCATGTGCAGTGCTGGAGCACAGGTACTTAGTCATTTGGATACAGGCAATACTGGAACACTCCTTGCTCTCCATTTCTCACTCCCCCATAAGACACTCGCTTGAAACTCTGCTTCTCATGTTGAGCAAGCCAAGATCTCCAGCTCTTTCCTAGCCCATTTGATAACATCTGACTGCACCTCCTTCATCCCCCTCTGATGTAATCCATGGCAACCTGGCTGGCAACTGGATAATGCCTCAGCCTTATGGGGGTAAATGATCTGTGTGTGTGATAGGGTTGGAAGCATATTAATGGAAGCTGCACAGTTACACCCTTTGTAAAATGGTTTGATAATAAGCCAAATACTTAATAGCAACAAATGAACTAACCCCCAAACCACCTGAGTGTATCTATTTACTTAAGCCTACTTTACATACCAAGTAGGAAGGGATAAACATTAGAGCAGCTTTTCCTAAAATGCACTGACTGAAGAATATGGAAAAACCTTTCACTGGTAATCTCTGCAGAAAATGACGAATCACATTTTGAACAAAGGGAAAACAAGGCCCTACCTAATCTGAGATGCAAGGACTGTGAAACAGCCAATTTCTAAGAAAGCAAACCAGAATGAAGGGTCTGATTAACCAGCACTTCCTACCTAAGAAGACCACTGATCACATCCGTAGGGACAGGGCAAGTAGTCCAAGCAGAAGTTCATGTGGCATTTGGGACACAACAGTCATCACTTTTCCCCTTTACCCCCTCCCCAAACGCAGCAGGCGGATGAGTCCTGTTTCTCTCTGTGTGAATGGAAAGCCCAGAGAGCAGTAGCAGCAAGCTGACCTGTTCAAGAGTCCTGCTGCTCCCATCACCGCCTCGCCTGTCCTGTGGTGGCTCCAGGAGCACCGCTGGGTGGGGCTGCACTTACACTTCTGCCACGGGGCTGGGCCAGCAGCAAAAAGAACAGACTCCATGGGATGGCTACACAGTCAGGGACAGCAGGCCAAGATGGGAAATGCTGTGGTGGGGTACAAAGTGTCAGGTGTGCTTAACAGGAAACACGATGCTTTGGATAGAAATCCAAAAGTTGTGTGGTATTGAAAGACATTTTAGGGAGGGGTAGGCTGGACAAGAGCAGCACTGCTGGAATTTAAGGTGCAAGGAGCTGGATAGGAACAAGAAGGAAGGGATAAACTGTATTGAATAGTTACAATCCAAGTAAGCAGGAAAACTGGAGCCCCAAGCCTGGGGGCAAATGAGAGACAGGACACAGAGATGGATCTCCTCACAGTCAGGAGTAACAGAGAAAAGAAGCACCTGATTTGAAGCGTTACCAAAACCATGAATGCAAGTGAACAGAAAAGAACTCAGAGGTGGAGCACCAGATCAGAAAAGACTCATTGCAGCAAGTCACCAATAAGGAGCCAGGATGCAGATGGCTCTTGTAAAAGCACCACATTGGAAAAGGAATCTTGGTCTTCCGTGCAGGCACATGCAAAAAAACTCTTTTCCATTTGCACACCTTTGGCAGTGGCCTGTAAAAGCAGCTGTTCCCATCTGGCAAGGCCCAAGTTACCTTTTTTGCAACACTTGCTGAACAGGTCACCCATTTCCGGGGAGTGTGTGATCCCAGAGGTACAACGTGCACAGTTCTCAGGTAACAAAAGGAAGCTTGGAGTGATTCCACCTGTCTAAAGCGCAGCCTTCCCCAGAGCACCCACTGGGGCAGGGCTGTGTGCTCTTTGCACAACCTGGCCCTAGGTTTTTTCATCATTCCAAGTACATCTCAAGTTGTGTAATGAGTGTTGTATCACCCTCCTGTTACAAATGACACAAGGAAAATCATGTGAAAGGTAAACAAGGCCGAATTGACACTGGACCGTTTAACTCCAAGCATAAACAAATACAAACCATGTTCAGCACAAAAAATCAGAAGTGATGATGAAATCAGAAGCAGTGAATTTGGATGAAAAGCTACTGGTTTATTTCCAGTTAGCACACCATTGTTACCTTTTATTCACAGTGGTGAATTCTGGTCAGGCCCACAGCTGAACAATTAGATGTGGGACAAGGAAGCTGTTTCTTGCTCCTGGCCTGCCTTAGCAAAGAGGCAGTCAAGTTAAACCCTGAAGGAAAGGGCATCTCACTTCAACAGGAAGTGACAAGCTTCAGACAGGTAAAGACTGCTTGTCTTCGTCTAGAAAGTACATAAGGAAGTCTTGTGTCTTGAGGATGAGAAAGGGGGCAGAAAGGGAATAGAAAAGAGGAAAGACACAATCCTCTTGTAGTCCTACGAAATGGTACAAGAGAAGGATGATATCCCAGAACTGCAAAGGGACCCAGAATTTTACTAAGGTCATAGTAAGTTGGGTTGTTCGATTTTTTAAAATGCATTTTGATTTCTACTTGTAATGCCTGTAAACAAATAACAAAGGCTGCTTAGAAGCACAGTTCCGCTTGCTTCTTTGGGACAGATTAGTTCAACTGTATTTCAGTTTTCGCAGCTTTAAGAGTATAGACCCTGATCTTTCAGTCCCCTTCCTCTAGGCAATTACCCTTCTCTTTCTCTTGACATGGGAATTGTAAAAGAAAAAAACCCAGCCATTAATAGCATGTTACCCAAACCTCTGGTTAATTTGGCAAGGTTGGCCTTAATTCCAACAGCAGGGGAATGATACCGTGGTTTTATGAATGCAGCCTCCAGCTGATTTAAAGAAACCCTCCTGTCAAAATTTAAATGACTCATGATTTTTCCATGGCAGAGAGAATGTTTTAATTTGCATAATTATACCTGTATAAACTATGCACTGACTGGTTCCCAATCTTGAGTTCACTCTGAAGTCTCCCTAAGGGAAAGGTGTCGCATGTGACGAGAAGCAGTTTATGAGTCTGCAAGTGTGAAGGGCAAGAACAAAGAGCCAAATCACTTGGCCTTCCTGCAAGGAGAAATCCTACCCACTGCAGCAGCCTCAGCGAGCACGAGCACTGATTATACAGTGACACAGCCAGTGCCACAGACACAGGCTGCAAAGCCCTTGTTTTGGGTCTGAAATGCTGCAGTTGGAGTATTAACAACAACCTGCATTACCTGCAGCAACTATTACTATGTCAGCGAGCTGAGTATGGATCTTGAGCTGCTCTTTTGGGGTGTACCTGTGAGTAATGGTCACTGTAGCATCACCTGAAATTGAAGAGAAAAACAATCGACTGTCAGATATAAAATGCTACAACAAAGTACAACATTTACTCTCAGGCACAAATTACTTACTTTGGTACAGTAACAATAGTACAGACAATCAGATTTGTCTTGGGATGTGACTTTTAAATCAGCATAGGCAGAACACTCACAACACTTACTGCTCACACATACAAAAACCACTTGTTCTTAAAAATTCTCCCAGGATGAATTCATTTTTACACTGGGGACTGAATTCCCCTCCATGGGAAGGGAAGCCCTTCCATGGCTTTGTTAGGTTCAGTGGAACTCCACAAAGCAAACCCAGCTCAGAAGCAGTGTCTGCTTTATCAAGGCCAGTTTGTACAGGATGCCACAAGGCTCAGTTGTTTGCCACACACGAAAGCTTCAATACAACACCACCAGCAGAAGCCCAAGAAGCACACATCCTTCTGCTCTTGTGGACACCCACATTTCTTGGCAAGAGCTACAAATACACCCTTCCAGTAAGACAGGAAAAAAACCCTTGTGGTGTTTGTTTGAGATACTGGGGAGAGACCAAAACACAGTCACAAGGAGAGGGTCTGAAGTCTCCTACTGCATCCAACAGCAGGTGAGGAGTGCCCAAGCAAGCAGCAAAGAGAACAGCTCTCAGAAGAAGACTCCTCCCAACCCTCTCTGCAAGTATTTGTACTGCACAGTGTTCAGCTGCTACATACCCCCATCACTGCCTTCCACTCCTCACAGACACCCAAGGCCATGTTACTCGCAATTCATCTAAAACCTTTTGCCTTCTCAGACATTACCACCACATCTGCTTCCTCTGGAATGTGTCTGACTGATCTAATCCGTGCCTCTCATCTTATTAACTCTCTCAACATCTTCAACTTTTCTGTGCTCTGGCTTCTCTGCTCTTTCCCCTCACCTTTTATCCCTCCTCTTCAGGCTCTGCAGCGCACACCATCTCCCCAAAGACAAGCAGATCAAGACATTCGCAGGTAATGAAAAAAGGGAAGCACAGGCTTGAAAAAAATAGAGTCTATTCTGATTCCTGCTTTAAGCAAAAGAAGCATGTCTTGCTCAAAAACACAATCATTACCACAAAGGCTGAGAAAAACCAATGGATGAAATCCAAAGTTACAAGGTGATCTCTGAGGAATAAAATTGGTTCTAATTTGCCCCTAAGATTTTAGTGAGGAATGTGTCTGTAGTCAGCTCCTGAAACCAAGTAATTGCTTTTACAACCAAAAAGGAAAGGAGAAAAAAAGGGGAAAAAAAAAAGCCCCTACCTTGAGACTAGCAGTCCAGAAGCTTACAGACACCTCAGAAAGGGGAAGTTTTCCATTTATTTGTGATCATGCCCAAACAGAAAATAAACAACTACTTTTACACTGCTACTTCTGCTGAAAGAAGAGGAATATATTTAACAATTAAGATCCCACATGATACTCCCAAGTCAGTTCCCTAGCTTATAAAACAGAGATAGTCTCCTGACCTGCCTACACAGAACATTATTTATTTTGGAAGGGGTTGACATAGCTTTTCCATCTGATCAGATATTGCCACCTGCAGGACATGAGTGTACCTGCATATGAAACATCACAAATGAAGACAGCCCACAACTTTTAATTTTTATTCATAATCTATAAAGAAAACCAACCAAAACCTACAACAAAAAAAAAGAAATAAAAAATAGTACCATACCCACACCCCTTGCACCACTTGTCAATAAAAAGCATTTAATCAAATCAGCTCAGTTGCTGAAAAAACCTCTTTCTTGACTGATAACCTGAAAAAGTTATTTTTCAGCATTTCATTGTAGGTCTTCTCTGGTCCCTATCCTCCTGAGCTTAAAAAGATTTAAAAAAAAAAAATCTGAAACCATGGCCTGGCCTGCCTTCCTTTCCACATGCCACCCAGGCCAGCCTCTTGCTGCTCACAGCAGAAGCAGAAATTGAACCCAAGCACAGAAGAAGAACCACATCTTCAAGGAGAGCCCCATCTGTCAGTCAGGGAGGAAAACTCCACCAAATCTGCCCAAATACCAAAGTATGTATCATCATGTACACAGCATACAGACACACACTCAATGCCAGTTCATTATCAGAGAAGTACTTGTTCCTTTGTTTTCTCATTGCCAGCTGTTTTATACTGTGTGCCAACACTTAGCAGACTGGAAAAGTAGAAAACTACTTGAGAATTAAATCCCTTTCTTCAGATTAGTTATCTTAAGATAACTTGGATGAGTTCACCCTTCCTGTATCCAGGCTCCAGTGTCAGTAAGGGACTAGCTGAACATTCTTCTGTCCCTGCACCAAATACGTGACATACTTAGAACCACTGGCAATGCAGGGTTGCCAGGGAAGCCATCTGACATGTCAGGAACCAGAACAATGGCAGAAGACCATGAAGCACCAAAACAACCCTCATGGATGGGCCCCCAAAACAAGCTGCACCACCAGACAGTCAAAGAAAGAGCCAAGAAAGCTGAGCCATGGATCCAATCAACTCAAAAGCTGGAAGCTGCAAGCAGTATTTAGGTACAGCCAAAAACTGCCCATGCAGCTGCTGAGGGTTTTGCAACAAGCTGCTGAAAGCATCAGCAGGTCTCCTCATTTCCAGGTGGGAAACCTGTAAGTAGCTTGTAATGTGGCTTTGTGTTGTACCAAGCCCACTTCAAACACCAGCTGCACCGCCAGTAACAAATGTCACCCAGTATTTGCAGCAAATGGCAAAAAATGCCACTAATTTTCGTGGGAATGAGGATGAGACCAGAACTATGCACCAATGGTAATTACAATTCAAGCACTGAGAGAAGTTCCAAATAGTAACTTTCCCACAGAGGCTGAATGGAAAAACCAACTCTATGATTAGTATAAAGCTTTTACTGTTTTATTATATTAATAACAGATTTCACTCTGCTCCAATTAAATAGGCCTGGGATTAAATGTCCATGTTTACCTCATTCATGCACACCACCATGGCAATTTCTAACATCAAAATGAAGTTGCAAAAGGGCAGCATTCTATCTAAATTATATTTGTTTTCGTTTCTACGGCACAATTATAGCAGCACATGTAGGCTTGTGTAATTAGAATTACTTAAAACTATTTCCACCACAACTCCCAGTTTCCAGGGGGATATAAAGTGCATTGCAGAAAGCAATCAGAGAGCTCACACTAACAAGTTCCTGGGCTGGTCATTCCTGTACTTTCACAGGCAACACCTCACTGGCACAGCACAACACAAGGGTCATGGCACACCTTTTTTTTTATTCACACATGGCTCTGTATGCGTCTTTAGGTACACATGTGTGTGTGTGCTCACATATGTAGGAGGTGTGAACTCAACACTGAACAGGCATGAGGATGAGGCTGTATAATAAACATCACAGGAGCCTCTGCAGCTCTCCAAGGCCTCACTGCAAGCATCACCCTCGAGGACCAGTTGAATGGTAGCTGCTTCAAATGAAGGAGGAAGCAATGACTTAATACCAGGAAATGTCAGGTCCAGAAGCTGCTCTCCTGAGAATAAGTCAGGAAATGTGCCAGCAAATTTATTTTCTTGGTCTGGTTGCAAGTATTGACAGGAGTGGGAAAGCTTGCTCTTTAATCTGAGTTCTCTAATCAGCTTTATTTTCAGGACTTCACAAATGGAAACACTGAGACAATATTCCTGGACTTACCTCCAGGCCTTTCATGCTCTCCATCGGTGTGTAAAAGCATTGAAATAGGCATTCCAACATTTTTAGATCTTCCAGCTACAAGAACATTTTTTCCAAATGTTTGTATTCCTTGCAGGGGAAAAAAAAAAATTAAAAAGTTACATTCCACTGTTTTGATACATGTAAACCCTTCTTCTCAACCCCCATGACAGAATTATTTGTTGTTATGAACTCCTGACTTCAACATGACTTGCCAACCCACAAGGCAGAGTTTGAGGGATGAATCCACAAAACAACTTTCAGCTTTCACCTTGGAGAAAGAAAACTGACAGCTCATTCAGGTTATCTGAATCATCCTTAGCAAGGACTTAATTTCCCTCCTCCAGCCACAAAAGGAAGCACTTATGTCTATCAATAAGAACATGAATGTTCTATATAAAAAATTACAAATACTGAACACATATGCCTTTTCCCCCTTTCGGTACTGAATTAAGTGCTCCCATTTTCTGTTCTTGTTTTTTGCCCCTTCTCCGCAAGAACTTACGCATTCAAATCTCCGATTTGACAATAATCATGGTGCCAAGAACAGCACAGAAAATTCCCCACAAAACTATGAAATTCAGAAAGTTACTGAAGTGTTCCAGCAAGTACTACTGTCTACACTTCATTAGTAGTCCTGCTGATGGCACAAGAGCCCATCTAGTTGGCAGCTCATTATTATTCAGATTATTACTCTAAACGTTTGCTCTTCAATCGCTGAGCTAATCCTTTGTTGGTCTGCCAGGACAAAAGGAGTTTGAGGCCAGGTGAGTCCCTTACCCGTCCGTTTTATGATTTCCCAGACGGCAGCAGCGGTGGCAGGGATTATGGAAGGCTGGTCCAGACACAGACGTCCAACATTGATGATGTGGAAGCCATCCACGTCCTTTCCAGGGGCGATGGCGTTACAGACCGTCCGCTCATCGATGTGATCTAGGGGGCACACAGCTCTCAGCTACAGCTCTTGCACTTGCCAGGTGCCACCAACACCAACAGAGTCATTACACACACCGGCACACGGCCCGGTAATTAACGGCCAGGGTAATTAATCACTGCCCTTGATTGAACAAGCCACACTCCCCCTAGAGGCACTTCCACCTTTTCAAGCAGTTTACTGAAAATTAGGTTAAGGCATTTGTCACAGTGCTAATACAACAGATTCTGTCTAAACATGGGAGCCCAGAGCTCAGCTGAGAACGAGGACAGTAATTATAAGAAGAAATGTTTAAGCAAGTCACGTCAGAGTCACTTCTGCAATCTGGAAGCCTTAAATATGAAGCAGCTCAAAAACCCCAACAAACCACAGGAGAACAGTTAGATGCATTTTTCTGGTTTCTAGGCCCACAGAGCATACGTGAGCTAATTTTTAAACAAATTCGTGGAAATCTCAAGCTGAAATAACAGGAAGGCAGGTCTAGCCTTCCTTTTCTAACAATACTATTTTTTTAGTCAACTGTTGACCAGAAGGACCAAAACATATCCTGCTTCATTAGAAAACTGAGAATACACAAAACTCCTTGAATATTGATGTCAAAACACTGAATATGGCTTAAATGGCATTGCCTGGACATAATTTCATATCTATTCAACGTGAGTATTTTTCATGTGCACTAATGATATGGGAGAGTTCTGCAACTGCTTAAAGCTCATACTGCATAAACTTTAGTACTGATTATGAAAAAATGTGTGTTTGCCAGACCCCTCTGTGCAGAGTTACAAGCCCAAGAGTAAACCTGCAGTGCTGAACACCCCCGAGGAACAGCTCCACAGAACATCCCACACTGGCCCAAAAAGCAAACTGAGTATCAACAAAGAAATTCAGATGTTGCCAGTAAAATATTTTAGAGACACAAACAGGACGTTCTAATTCAGTAGGATTTTGCGGCTTTGCATTAAAAGGAGCTAGATAATTAAAAGATAAGCACGTAATAAACTTTAAACCATGGTAATCTCCTGTTAAAAGGTTTCCAATTAAAAAAACCCTAAAGTTAAACCAGGCTGCTATCATTTACAATTTGGTTCTCCATTTTTTGACGGGAGGAAGTTTCCTTCGGAATCCTAATGAGAAAAGACTTCAGAAATTAAGATATTAAATACATTGATGAAAGAACTGAAACTTGCCTCACAGAGACTGAAAGCAACCATAACCTTGTTTTTATGTAAACTTGGGGATTAAAGAAAAACAAAACAAAAAAAACAAACAAAACAAGCAACGTGAAGTAACCTATTAAATGGCTTTTGCAAAAGAGAACTTGTTACCCTTAGGCAAGTCAGTTGTTCATGCAACACAAACTTGGCATCCATGCTTTTCCTTGTGCCTGGGATGAGGAAAGGACTGCTCTGAAAAACACCTCCTCCACACTGTCTGTCTTTAGCTTCCCAGAATCAGACAGATAATAGACACAATTATGTAAAAGGAAAAAAATAAATAACTCATGCTGTACAAGGATATTTTCCACACTCAAAACTGATTTGCACAACTCCAGAACAGGGTTTACAGTACTGGGAAGAAATGGAGCTGCACAGCTGGAGACAAGTGAGCTGTGGGCCTGAGAAGAGGATGTGGACACTTTCCTTCTCCTTCAGGGAAGCTTTCAAGGCACTGTCCTGGGCAGGCCACCCCAAACCAACCAACCAACCCGACTGCAGAGACAGCCACTATGTTACTTAATGAGCAGATTCTCTTGGCCCCAAGAAATGCCTTTTCCTGGTTTGCTCCCACATGACTTCTCTATTTCCAGAGGAATAAAATAATCCCTTCATTATCTTACTGTCAGTCTGATAAAACATCATCTGATACCCATACAAATTTCCTTGCTGTCATTCCCAGCCACTCTCCAGGCCAAGTTCCTCTCTGCACCTCCTCTCCCTTGTTAGCTCAACTTGCAGGACGGCACCGGGCATCGCTTGCCGAGCGTTCGCACACAGACCAACTCCTGTTTATGCAACAACTGCCTCCGGTGCTGGCACGTGAAAAATAGAGACTGCTTTTCAAAAGGGAAGACTCACGAAAATAACAACATAGCACAAAAGGCATTTGGAAAAAAGCACTGTATGGATTCTCACCTTCTGTCTCAAATAGATTAACATTTCGTGGCCATCTCCCAGGCAATTCAAACAAGGATACGGGAAAGTCTCCGCAGAACTGTCACAAGGAATGCACTCAAAAGGTGCACAGAAAAGCTGCTCTCCCCAGGCAAAGATGACAGTGCTCCAAGTTAAGCTACCCCAGCTCACAACAGTGCAATGGAGCTAAGCTACTTCTGGTTCCATTTTTAACCCAATGTTGATCAAAAGCCACACCTTGTGTGGTTTGCTGCAAAAAAAGCCCCAGACTCATACAACAACCTCAATTCTGGGATAAGCAGCCTCCGTTGATGAACTTTTCACTACTTCTAGGCTTTGCCTCCTTCCATTACAAAGCAAATTAAAAAAAAAAAAATGGAAAATTAGCTAACTTAGCTTTTGGGCCCTTAGTTTATTAAGTTCCTTGGAGGAAAGAAATAAATAATTCAGTTATCTGAGTTATATTTGACATCTGTTATGGAAAGAACTTACTGAACATTTCCAATTCATGATAAATTGCACATTTAACTTTACTACACAGACTATACTGCAATATTGACAAACTTCTGTTATTGATTAAATTGTTGTGGGGTTTTTCCCAACAGAAACAACAGCCATGCCTGTCTGACAGGTGGCATGGAGGATAATTCAAGTCTTCAAGTACTTATTGTGACAGATGTGTCAGAGTTCTGGACAACAACCAATTTTAGGACTGACCCTTATTGAAGGACTTCAGCATTTCAGCGCAGAAGCATCAAACATTTCCACTGACACAGCCAGAATTATCCTCAGGCTTTTTTCCTTTTCCCACATGGACCAGGTTTAAACCCACCACATTTCAAAACCACAAGAAGCTGTGAACTGTGCTCTGGTGAAAGCAGACAGCTGGAGAGCAGACTGCAGTGACCTGATATCCTCCTCATAAACACAAAATGCATTTCTGCAAGCGGTACCCAACCATTTCCCAGGGTACCCTCACCACTAAGACACCTGACACCTCCCATTTTTGGGAACACAGCACTGGACTCCCAGCCTGCACCCCTTGCTAGAGGCATCAGACAGGATGATCTCCATCCCTAGGCTGCCAGTGCTCCACCTTCCCGAGTTCTCAAGGCTGGAATGAACCTTTGTTGATTACACCACCTGCCACTGCTCATCCCAGAGACGTCTGCTCCAAGGGAACCGACCACATTCCCTCAGCTCCTGCCTTCAAGGCCAGGATGTGGCTCCTTACCTGGGCTGTACTCCCACCTTGTGGCAAATCCACCTCAGTACATGGCCCGTTTACTTCCACCTAACACCAAACACAAACCCTCCTCATCACAACCGCTACTGTTTATTGCAAATTATCACAAGTGCAACCAAAGCATTTTTTCCTCCATAGCTCACAGCACCTGCCCCATTTTTGCTGTTTTATAGATTAAAAAAGAGTTTCAGTTCAGCTTTTTTTGTTTGCACGTTTTATCGCTGGAAAAACACCACTTTGGCAGCTACTTCCCAGAGATATTTCAGTGAAACTTTATTACAAATTAGGAGAAGGTAAATAAAAAAACCCAAAAAATTTAGTCAAGGCTTTTTAGGGACTTTGCACGAAGTTCACCTGGAACTTTAGGGCCAACAAAGAAAGCATAAACAAATGTTTAAGGCAAAACCTGGAATCACTGTGAGAAAGGCTACAGCACCATCTGCTACATGGCACAATTTTTCATGATACAAGGGATGAAAGCATGGAACTCCAGGCAAACCAGTGCAACTTGATAAAAAAATAAAGATGATTACACTGGATAAATTCTGTGAAATGCCTTGAAACACCACCCCGGTTGATCATTAAAAAAGGCAACTTTTACACATGAAATTATTCTCAGGATTTGTTTTTTTTCTTTAAAATGAATCTCACATTCAACAAAAAAAACCAAATTAACATCTCAGCTAACCTTTCATTATGCATGTCCTCTTTCAAGAGTTTGTTGTGTCCCCAAGGCTCACTTGCAGCCCAGACCTCCTAAACTCTTTGCTCTTACGTGGACTGTGTATGAGGAGTGGGACAAAGACGTCACATACCTGGGAGAGGCAGCTGAACTAATAAACCACTAACTCTTGAATCCTTGTTGAGCTTGGCTGTCATTTCCAGGAGCTCTTCCTGTGAAATGTCTTTAGGCCTCAGTATGATCTCACTAGAAATGCCTGATAACAACAAAAACAAAACCAACCAGAAGACAGGTTAGAATAAGGAAACTGAGTGATGTGCAGCTTAGCCCTTTAGTCCAAAAATTTGATTCTTAACATCTGCTTCCAAACACTATTTAAAGACACAAAATGAAATTTATGGCTCCCACTCAAATCACATTAAAACTACCTTCTTCATACATCCATGCAATTCCTGAGGTCCATCAGAGAAAACATGGAAGACATTGGTACAAAATTTAATTAGCACACTAAGGAAATTCCTCCTGCTTTAGTTTTTTCTTTTTAAATAAGAGTATCTTGCCCTTGCCCAAGGAACACTTATATGACATACCCACTGCTGCAGCTGCTTTTATCTTGTTCCTGACATAGATGTGACTGGCTGGATTGTCTCCTACCAAGATGACAGTGAGGTGAGGCCTCTGGTTCCCAGCGGATATCCACGACTCCACATCCCTTCGGACCTCTTGCAAAACCTGGTGAGCAAGCTTTGTCCCTGAGATAACGGTTGCCTCGTCACTACAGAGATAAAAAATTAGACAATATTGAGGTCTGCAATTTCACCAGGAAGAAGACACCTTTAAAAGCGTGTGATCTACCATTTCAGACACTGCTAAATGTCTTGATTCACGTGCTGGCATTTCAAATATTATTTGGAAAACATTACCACGTTACAAATCTACAAGGGAAAAGAAGTGTTTTCCCACTCTCTCGTCTGAAGAGCACGGATGTGCCATCAGTGCACATGGAAGAGAAGCTCACCAGGCACAACTCACCTGCCCAACACACTTAGCCAGCCTCCTAAACTTACATTAACTCCTGCATTTGGAATAAATCATGAAAACGCTCTTATGCCCTTAGATTTTACTGATTTAAGGAACCTTACCCCCTTGCCTCCTCTAATTTCCTTTAAAATAGATTTAACATAGGACTATTTACAGCATTTTTTGTCCAAGCCTCAATGATATATTTCTCTTATTTCATAGCTGCTGGGAAGGAAGTCAGGAAATAGCGTTTCTCGCATTTGTAAAACATAAAAATAGCAAATAATGAAATATGTTGATGCTTCTTAGGTTTAGGACCTAAATAGTCTAAGTCCTTTGATGGAAATATCATACAAGAACTGCATGAACAAATAAAGCATTGCCTGTACAGAAAGCTGACGCTGCAGTAGGCTATTCAAGACATTGAAACCAAGTAATGAATTTTTATTACTGTGAATTTTATACACACTAAAACATTGACCAGGTGCTGGTCAATGACAGGTTTAATGACAGATTTGTGACAGATTTCATGACCAAGTTAAATGACACACTTCATATGTGCTCCTACACCATCCTGTCCCGCTGTTATCCCACCCATGGATGCTGTTATTCTGATCCCAGCATGGATTTAAAACAGAAAATTATTATTGTTTATGAATCTCGTGGCTTGCAGGGCATGACAGAAACAAAGATCTGCACTGCTATTTTAGGTCAATTTGTACTCTAAAAGCCTGAGATAATATGGAGCATCACAACATGTCCCACACCCCATAAAAACCTGTGGAAATTTATTAGTGCAGGAACATCTAGGTTTTGTAGAACTGGAAAAAACAGTTACTAGCATTGCAGAACCGAAGCAGGACATGCACCGATGCAGAAAGACAGCTGCTTCTCCCAAAACTGGCAGAATCAATTCTCAATACACAGAACACCCAAGGGGTCACATGCTTATTTCAAATGGCTGTTCAGTTCACTCATCTTTTCATTCTTGAAATCATCAAGATAGTGCTTTCAGCACTGGCATTTGTGACTTGCTGAATCTCTTAAATCAGCTTCCAGCCAGGTCTTAAGACAAGGACATATAAAAGAAAAGGTTCACAAGCAGGAGCTCAGAAAGACACTCCCATGCACACCCAGGCAAGAGCCCAGGGCTGCAGTGCTGCAAAACCAGAATCCCTCTGCACTCAATGCAATAAATTAGACACGGAGGGCGATTACTGTCAAGACACTGATCCCCACTGCACCACAGCATGCCCTGTTTGCCACCAAATGATGAATATATACAGTAATTCTGTATAAATCCATGGACAGGCTCTTTAAGGTAGCAGGAGCAAGCCAAGGTGTACTCACAGGAAGGTCACATCACAAAGGCCACTTCAGTTTAAAGAGCACCGCTTAAACCCACGATGGATCACCAAGGCCAGGGCCAGGGCCCGCTGGCCGCCCGCTCTTCCCCGTTTCCCCGGGAAGGACCGCGGAGCTCAGCGGGGATCCGTGGGCATCCACACCGAAGGGCGATCGAGGAGGACCCGAGCCCGTTGATCCCCCAGGCGTTCCGCGCCCTTTGGACCCGCCGCGCCATGAGGGGTACGAGGATGGAGGAGGAGGATGCGGAGAGGGAGGTGAATGAAGAGAGGGAAAATACCCGATAGGCGCAAGGTACCTGGCGGCGCTGCGAGGGGAGCTGCTGGTGCTGCGAGCGAGGGCTCGCCACCGCCTCAGGGGCGCCCAGCCCGGGCGCAGCAGCGCGGCAGAGGAGGACGAGGCGGAGGAGAAGGAGAAAGCCGCGCCGGCAGCCGCCATTTCTGTGCGTCCTGACGGGCGGAAGCGCCGCCGCAACCAATGGACGAGGGGAGCAGGCGGGGCCAGCGCCGGCACCGGGATCGCGGCCAGAGCGGGCGGAGCTGAGGGACGGCTGGAGCTGAGGGAAGGGCGGGCCTGAGGGAGGGGAGGCGCTGAGGCACGGGCGGAGCCGTGACAGGGACTTCGAGCCGCAGGGTACGGCTGGAGCCGGGCAAACGGTGCCGCAAATACGGGCTTCGGCTGCAGCCTTCGGTTACCGTGAGCTGCTGCTCTCGTCGCAGTTTGCAGTGGGCAGACACAGAGCTCCACGGACAGGCATGCATGCCCCTCACCTATATTCCCTACACCCTGGTGTTTTCTGAGGGGGAGGTCTCGTGGAACTGCATGCAACTTGCATATTGGTGCCTTCTGTCACATTAAATGGCAGATTTTATAATAAAAAATCTTCCGTGCAGAGCGGAAGCAGAAAACAAAACAATACCTGAAATAGAATATAAAAAGCAGGCCAAAATAATAACAGCACCCTCACCACCCTACTGGCAGTGGGAAAATTCCTTTATAAAGTTAGGAAAATCTTTGGAAAGGTGCATCAACTTAGTGAGACTCCTCGTTCTGCTATGGGCCTGGCAAAGTTTTTTGACCAGTTCTGTGTTTCCAAAGGAAACATGATTCAAGTGCTTCCACAGAGAGTGTGCCTGCTGGGTTTTAATGGCTTGGCCTTTCTAAAATATTATTCTTATCAAATTATACTCTAGATAAAAGCACTCCATTATCTGCCACTCACCCGGTCCTGCCGCTTGTCCCGGCTTTTTTTAAACAGCAGAAATTTTGTTCCCAGCAGAGATTTGAAAGTCTCTACCTCACCCTTGATAACCTTGCGTGTTTTTCCTGTCAGGCGAGGACCGATGGATGTTCGATGTCCCACCAAACACCGAAAAAATGTTCCTCGCCGTCCCCTCAGGCGTTTGGCGCCCTTTTTCCCGTCGCGCGCTTCCCGCCGCGGCGTGAGGGGACCGGGGGCACCGGGGGCACCGGGGGGAAGGAGCGAGGAGGAAAACTCCTCGATGGGCGCTGCGAGGGGCTCTGCTGGCGCTGCAGCCGGCCCGGGGAGCCGGGAGGAAGGCGAAGGTTGGCCGGCCCCTGAGTGGCGCCCGGCCCGGGGGCAGCAGGGCGGAGAAGAAGACGGAGAAGAAGAAGAAGGCTGTGGGGGCCCCAGCCATGTCGGCCGGAGCGCACAGGTGGGAGCGGCGCCGCCACCGAGCCGTGAGGGGAGGAGCCGGGACGGGCGGAGCTGAGGGCGGAGGAGTTCATCTAGGTAAGTGTCCGCAGTCACTTGGGGAACTTTCTTTAAGAAAACTTGTTTGCTATTTATTTTTTTATTTTTTTATTTTTTTTTTAATGCCAAGCGGTTTCTGCAGAGGGCGTAAGAACCTGCTTTTTATTTATCTTGACCGTGGATACCCCTCTCAGTGTAGCGCCTTCACTTGCAATGTGTTCAGCTACTGTAATCAAATAGTAGTGGTGAAAAGCCCCAAACTCCGTAATTGTTGTTGCTGTCTTGTCGGGTGACAGCTTCTGAGTGCGCTCTTTGTCTGTGGAAGAGGATAGTGAGCTCAGATCCACGGAACGAGGTGTTCGGCTAGGTTTTTGCAGAAGCAGATGTTCCTCTGTTTTTAGTGTTAAATGGAATACATTTTTCAAGGACTTTTCCTATGAAAGTCTAGACAGGTCTTTGCAAGCGACTGACATGTTATTCAGACGGTGACAGTCATAATTTTTGAATACCCTTGCGGCATAAGAATGTTTATTTTCTCCATGAAAGCATTCTGCTTCTGCAGCTATGGAGACCTAAGCAATCTCCTAGTCATTCCTCCAAATATTTTATAAATGCTTTCAGTTCATTAAGTTCGTTATAATATAGTACAAAATATGCTATTTACTCAAAGCTGGAACTTTACATGGAAACCAAACTCTCGTTCCTGTTCCATGGGAAAAAAAAACAAAAACAACCCAAACAATTTCAAGAGTTAAATGTAGTTTTAAGTTGCAATGGTAGTCTTACTGTCACTTTGTACATTTGATTTATCTACAGGCACTTATGTGAACCTCATAGGGTGCAGTGAAGATTAACTTTATTCATGCTTAATATCTTGAGAATTTCAGAGAATGGATGATAACGATTCCCGAGCCCCATGAGGACTTCAAAACCCTGAGAGGCTTTTGATGTGTCCTGTTTTACTAGCATTTTTTCTTGGGCAATGTACTTTCCTGCTGAAAACTGGGTGGGAGGCAAAAATCCAGAGTTGCACAAGACACTTCCATTGCTGTTTTAGTAGATTGACTTACATCTGAAGAAAAACATATGACATAGAGCAGAAGGGAAGAACTGTAGAAGTTTGTAGTGAGCCATGGTTTTCAAAAATAGCATATAAAATAGGCATCTATTTCTGCAGGTAAATTTGACATTTCAGCTTCTAAAAGAATCTGGTTATTGTCAGCATTTTAGTCATGGTCTTTGGGGTGTACAAGGCAGGGAAAGTGAAAAATCTGCCTTGGGATCTTGCAAATATCTGCTGCTCTGATAAAGTGAAGCTGGATATAGCTCTCTCTGGAATTCATGCTATTCCTGAGACAGACATGGTGTAACAGGGCAGTGGGGTCATGTCAGACAGACACCATTCCCAGGGGAAAGCCATTATGTGTGCAGACACACTGGAGTTTTTTGAGAGGTGGCCAGTGCAGGCAGGACTTTCTCAAGGTTCTGAAGAGGGAGCGAGAGTTTCAGGTCACCTTTAAATGGCAGGGAAAAAACGGTGACAAGGAAACGGAAGAACTCTGCCCGTGGGTGGGTAAAGGAGACAGATTTCCGTGCAGCTGCATTTGTCTGTCCCGTGTTCTGGGGATGAGCCAAGCTTTCCTCAGGTGTCACAGGAGAACTCACCCATGTCAGCAAGGCCAGGATGTGGTTGTGCCTTCGGACAAGGTTTTGTTGGATTCTGTGTGCAAGCAGCAGTCGATTTGTCTGTCACTAAACAAGTACCATGACCCTAGTGACAAGAGATTGTTTGTCCTAGGAATGTGCCCTGAAGGATCCAGACAAGGGGATTCTTGGCTTTCAGAAATGTCAGCTGGGACCTGAGCTTTTTTTTTTTTCTAGGAACAAATTTACCTTTGCAAACTTTTCCTGTTTCTTACCATAGAAAACACTGTTACTCCTTCCCACCCAGCAAAATGTGTTTAAACAGTGCCCACTTCAAGGTGAACCCAAATAGAAATTCCTGCAGATTGCAGGGGGTCAATACACCCATCCTGGGGTTAATCTCTCCATATCAGCAGCTCAGATCAGCTTCACATCAGAGGGTGGAAGCAATGTGCCTCTGAATGTAGAAACACTTGAGCTTGGTGCCAAGTGCCCCTGACACTTGAGAGAGAACTGATCTGCAGGTGTGATTGTCCAGGAATCCCTGGGTACACAGAGGCCACTGCTTCCCTGCATCCCACTAGCCCAACAGGTACACAGGTCCATTTAACATGGAATTCACAAAAAGACAGGATATTTTTCAACAGGAAAAAAATTTTATTGCATCATATGTTTTGTTACATTATCAGGAGAAATCCACCTCTTTACATACAATTTTCCAAAGCAGAATAATGAAAATCAGTTATTCTTTACGAGTTATGACACTATGTCATACAAGTAGACACAAAATGTCTAAGTCACTCCAGAACATTTACTGTTCCTTTAGATCTTGCACATAAATACCAAATGCTTTAATGTAAACTCATTTAAAAACAAACCAACTAACCAACCTCAACATGAACCGGTTAAAAACCAAACCAGGCATGGCACAAACCCCCACAATTTCATAGAAATTATTAAACTCTTCTAAGTATTGAATAGGGGCAGAAGACTTCAGGGACAAAATTTGTGATTTCATTGGATGGTGTCCTGTGAAAAAAGGGTTCAGTGCATTCTGCACTAAAGGCTGGTGAGACCGAGTAGGAAAAAGAGATTTGGCGAAACATTCTTTCTTGAACCAGGTTTTATTCCCATGTAATCCTGAACAGGCACTGAAATGTTAAGTGCCAGACAGCCCCCTTGTTATTCCTGACAGAAGGATTACCCCCAAGCACCGGCACAATCCATTCAAACCTCTCCTGTCACACTCTCTGCAGACATTTGCAAATTCATCTTCACGGTGGGCCCATCCTCTTCTCAGATATTAATGCTTAAGTTTTAAAATAACTTATTGGCAAATAGGATTTGGCAAGAAGGAGCTTGCACAAAGGTGGAGCAAGTTGTGAGATGTTGCTGAGAGGTGTCCAGCAAAGCTCCCACTGCCTTATCAAATGGGTTCGATCACTTAACCTCAGTCAATAAAACCGTACATAGGATTAGGAAATAACAAACATGAGGAGAGGGAACGAAACACAGAACATCTGATCTACAAACTCATCAAAACCAGAGAGCTGAGCTATTGTGTTCTCATAGCATCTGTTTCCTGGTATCTGGTGGCAAACAGGTAGCTTCATTCCGAAATCCTCCTTCCCTCAGAGCTTGTTGGGTGAACTGCAATGGGCAGAATTCAAATTGTAAAACCAGCCAGGAAATTTTTCCATAGGTTTTCTTGCATACACCAGATAATAAATCCCACAGGAGGTGTGGAAAAGATGCCTGATGGTGATGATGGAACGTATTGTGGCTAGATTTGCAATTAATCAGGCATTTGTTGTGATACTCTCCCTGAAAACCTGCTGGGTTGTCTCCTCCCCAGCAAAGAAGCCACTTTCTGGACACATTTTTGGCTTAACTAACCAGAATTTCCTACAGGAATCAGTAGCGGGGTGTGGCTCATAATTCTCGGGTTTAAGCCCCTCCAAAAGCTAAGTTTGGCCCCGAGCACTGGCCACAGCTGGCCCGGCAGGTACCTGCGGAGGATCCTGGTGACCAGGAGCTTGACCCAGGCTGCGGCGGGGTTCAGGCAGACCATATGGCCCTGCTTCGTCGTGGCTCTGCGGGCGAGACAGGGACGGGCTGAGGCCGGGGCCGGGGCC